CGCACCCCAGGCGAAGTCCGAGGAATACAGTGGAGACCCATGCCAAGAAACACCCTGCTTGCCTCCAGGGTGCCCTCAGTTTCTTGGGTTTCGATGGTTTTGCCATGGAGAGCGTGACGCTCCCACACCGAACATCCATGGACGTCCTAGGGTCTCGGGTTTCTCGTGGAGGGGTTCTTGTGGACTGGCCTCCACTGTATAATAACCATGCCCCTTCCACTGCCACTAGAACACAAGTACACGCCTGCTGTGCTGCAAGCCTTTCTCGCACGGCGTTGGCAGCAGCACGTGCACATGCATTGTCTGACAGGGTGGGTTTCTATTTCGAATCCAGTGTACGTGTGCTGACATGCACTTTCTGACGGTGACGTCCTGTGTATGCTCGTTGTTCTGGCAACAGCGCAAAGTTTGGTAGACCGGCCTCATCTGGTGTATGGCCTGCCTCGTTGCTCGTTGCGCAGTGACTTCGGCTGATGCGATGGATCGCTCCCGCCGCGATCCCGATCGGCTTCGTGCTGTTGGTCGCTCGTTCCTCGAGTGTGTGTTTTTCCCAACCATCCTGTGGTGTTGGGTCCTCGTGTTGAAGAGACGTCGCCCCGCGTTCCTCCTTCCTCCTCCCTCCTCCCCTCCTCCTCTCATCGTCATCATCATCATCATCATCATCGTCGTCATCGTCATCGCCATCGTCATCGTCATCGTCATCGTCATCATCGTCATCATCGTCGTCGTCATCATCATCATCCTTATTATTATGATGATGATTATTATTATTATTATCATTATTACTATTATTATTCATATTATGACTATGGTGATTATTATGATTATTATTATTATTATTGTTAGTATTACTATTCTTATTATTACTATGATTATGATTATTATTATTATTAGTATTATTATTATTATGATCATCAGCATCGTCAACATCATCACACGTTTCGTTGCCCCATAGGGAGCTCCACCGAAGGTCCCAATGGCGCGGTTGGCATGCGTCTCCCCCCCAGTACAGCGTTTCGTGGCCCCACGGGGAGCGCCACCGAAGGTCCCCGTGGCGCAGTCCGCATGCGTCTCCCCCACCCAGTACAGCGATTCGTAGCCCCACAGGGGCTCCGCCGAAGGTCCCAGTGGCACAGTCCGCATGCGTCTCCCTCACCCAGTACAGCGTTTCGTGGCCCCATAGGGGCTCCGCCGAAGGTCCCAGTGGCACAGTCCGCATGCGTCCCCGCCACTCATTTCGGCACACCCCTCACACGTTCCGTGGCCCCATAGGAGCTCCGCCGAAGGTCCCAGTGGCACAGTCCGCATGCGTCCCCGCCATTCACTTCGGCACGCCCCTCACACGTTTCGTGGCCCCATACGAGCTCTGCCGACGGTCCAGTGGCACAGTCCGCATGCGTCCCCGCCACTCATTTCGGCCCACCCAGCACAGCGTTTCGTGGCCCCATAAGGGGCTCCGCCGAAGGTCCCAGTGGCACAGTCCGCATGCGTCCCCGCCACTCATTTCGACCCAGCCCTCACACGTTTCGTGGCCCCACACGAGCTTCGCCGAAGGTCCCAGTGGCACAGTCCGCATGCGTCCCCGCTACTTATTTCGGCACACCCCTCACACGTTTCGTGGCCCCATAGGAGCCCCGCCGAAGGTCCCAGTGGCACAGTCCGCATGCGTCCCCGCCACTCATTTCGGCACACCCCTCACACGCTTCGTGGCCCCATAGGAGCTCCGCCGAAGGTCCCAGTGGCACAGTCCTCATGCGTCCCCGCCGCTCATTTTGGCACACCCCTCACACGTTTCGTGGCCCCATATTGAGTCCCACCGAAGGTCCCCGTGGCGCAGTCCGCATGCGGCCTCCTTGCCCGCTATCAGCCAGCCAGCTAGATCTCTTTGCTCCGCGCAGTGGACGACCATCGCGCGTCGCTGAGACCCCTCCGGGGCGACCAGCGCGCGTCGCGGGGACTCCGTGCTGCGTCATGCCCAGCGCCTCGCTCGCCCGTCGTCGCTCTGCCCAGCGGCAAGAGCCTTGCCCGCTATCAGTGGACGACCCGCGCGCGTCGCTGGGACCCCTCCGGGGAGACCTGTGCGCGTCGCGGGGGCTCCGCGCTGCGCTGCGCCCGCAGCCTTGGACTTTTGAGCGCGCGGGCAAAGAGGGAGTAACAGAAGGGGAGGAAGCGGGCGCGATCCTCGCGGGGGGGCGCGCCGACATTGGCGTCGCGGCGCGCGGGCGATGCCGTCGGGGAGTCCTGGGGAAGCTCCTTGCGGCGGCCACGCCCAGCGTCACGAGTACTCAGAGGCAGTCGTTCTCAAGCTGCTGTCATTCATCTACAATTACACCATGCTTTGTCATACTCGCATTCATGCACGTAGACTCGCTCGCACGCAGATCCATTCACAGTCAGACGCACTCGCGCTCAGATTCACCCGCGCTCAGTCTCCCTACGTACTCAGATCAATCGTTTTCGTTCGCGTTGTGTACCACGCCGCTCATTTCGGCACACCCCTAGCACGGTTCGCTGCCTCATAGGGATCACCACCGAAAAAGTGAACCACAATTGCGGTACTCACACCTGCATATGGCTGGGTCCTTCGTCAGGCTAATTATGTTTACGTTGCCCACTCTTTCGTGGGACGCGCCAGATTCGCGGCGCGCCCTCCTGAACGACGTAGCCCAAGGGCGCCTTGTCGAACCTAGAGTGTAGTATTGGCGAGACTGGGGTCTCTAAGTGATGTCGGGAATGATGTCTGGGGATGCTACGCTGCCACCGCGTGAGGCTTTGTGTGCTCCCCGCACTGTCGGCCCCCACTTGGCCCTGGCTGTCGCGCGTCGCCGCCGTCGCTGGCACGAAGGGGCCCTGGGCAGATTCCTCACTTCGCGTCCCCACCCCCCTCACTGGCCTTGGTGTTTTTTGTTTCAGGCGCCAATTATTCTTGTCCACAGGGCCATTGAATATTTGGCGCCCCCACTCTGGAAGCTTTGCTCCCTTGGATGTTGCGTTGTAGGTCCTTACCGTTCCGCCTCGGCGGAGGAATCACACATTCGCGTTCTGGTTGTAACCTCTTGGGTGATCCGTCGAAGGGGGCACGTCGACGGTCGATCACTAGCCGTTGGCTACTGCAGGGTAATATATTCACCTGTACGCCTGCTTGTGCAGCACGTGGCGGGAGATGAGGACATTTTTTGACACAGGCACATGAAAAGTAGGTCTGTCCCGAGGAGGTGGGTCTTTTAAGTATTGAAGCGGCGCGTGCTTCTTTATAGTGGCAATCGCGGCGCCTTGCAAGTCCGTGCGGAAGCGGGTCTTGGTGGAACGTGTTAAGTTGTTAGGTCGTTGCGGGCATGGTGTATGGCCATTTTGCTGTGGTCCTCTTGTGGTGGTAGTTGGGCTTTCGTCGATCAATCGGCCTTTGAACATGCTGGCTATCCCTGCTGATTCGTTGGGACGGTCTCCGTGTTCTGTGCCGCCAAGTCCATAGCGTTCTTGCGTGCCTTCGTCTTGGCTTAGCTTGCTTACACTTCTTTTGCGCCGACCTAGTCCATGCCTCCAGCAGGCCGCTTCCGCTGCGTAGACCGACACACAAGGTAGAACGAAAGTCTTGCCCTGTCTGGTGTTTGGCGGGAAACGCTGGTTGTGCAAGTGATTGCCGCCATATCATGGTGAACGGGTCATGGTTATACCTGCGCATCCCCGCATCTACCACCAGATGCGTCCCATGCTGCTCAGAACTTGCTTGGTCCTAGCGATTTCGGGTCTGCTATGTTGGGCCATCTTCCAGTCTCGTGCTGTCCGTTCAGACCAAGGCTTATCGTCATTCGGGTAGCAGCTTGGCTATAAATGGACAGCTCACCCTGCTGGCATGCTGTTCATCTTTGGCAGATGGAACACAGAAATACTTCGTTATACTTTGCAACCCTTTGAAGGATTGCTGCCGCTGACAATAATCACAATCATGCTTGGGCAAGCCTGGTATCGTTGTGTCCAGGACTTGCGCATCCAAGCTTGAATGTGCGGAGTTGGCGCCGCAACTTATCGTGTAGCTTGTTGAGTATTGCTGCCGTGTGGTGCACATGTGCAGTCCCTCGTCTGTCTGCTAGAATGCGTTCTGCTGTTGTTCGTTTATCAACAGGTTCCGTGCTTTTGAACTTTGCAAGAGTGGCATGCTAATTACGTGTTCCGCTAGTTTTTTATTGCCGCTGTTGCATCTCAGAGAAGTCATAGTGCATCTATTGTATTTGAATTCATCGACAACGGTTGTGCCAAATGGTGTTTGTGTGTGTGTTGGTTTCTTCAGCCCGCGAGTGTCTTCGTACCGGCACCCGCTGCGGGCTTACATATGACATATGGTTGTTGGTCGGAAGGTCAGTTGTACATCCGTGTGAGATGTTGAGGTCCGTGTCGTATTTCTGTTCCTTGTGTGCTTCCCGTTGTGCGCAGTGAGCTCGTTGTGCTCCTTGTGTTTTTTGGTTTCTCGTGTGGGAACGAACGCAAGGAAACTGGCGCGATGTGTACAGTTCCTGTTTTGCCTAGTGTTTTTGTTTCACCTTGTGCAGAGAATAACCGCGCACATCCTCGAATCCATTATGGCCCAAGTGTTATGCGGGCCATTGACTGCGCATTGTCCAGTATGCCATTCGATGAGTTATATGGAGCCTTGCAGCATTATGCTGCTTCACCGCCGCATTTGCCCCCTCTGAGCGAACTTACTGTTGTAGAGTTAAGTTGCCGTTGGTGTGGGGCCACTGGTTTCGCCAGCCGCAACCAATTATTTGCCCATGTTCGAGCTTCCAAGGAGTGCACCGAGTCTGCAGCAAGGGAACATGTGGGTGCCTTTGAGGTCTTGGCTGCCAACGGGAAGCAACGCTCGGCCGCACTTCTGATTGGTTATTATCAAGATGGTGCGAACGCTGAGAAGCATATTGTGAATTCCTTTGTAGTCTCTGGGGCTCGGGATGTCCGCACGCATCGAGCCAGTGCTGGGCAACAGGAGGTGTCTTGCGCGGCGC